GCTGAAAAGCTGAGACAGGAGGATACTAGTACAACGAGATACTGATGGAATAACAGAACAAAACAAAATTCCACACCCAAAGATAATGCATAGGGGCTGGCAGGTGGTGTGGCGGTTAAAGGCGCTAGACTCCCACATAGCCGACCACTGGGTCCCAGACCTGGTGGCTTGCTTTCTCACTCTCTCTCTCTCTCACTCTGTCTTTCTCTAGTCAAATAAAAATAATAAAGTTAATTAAAATAATCCTTAAAAAAAAAGATAATGCATATACATAGCTCCATGGGAACACATAATTAAAAAAAAATCTGTCCACCTGGCTCAGCTCCACACCCTACTTCTTAGAGAGCTACCATATTGCCAAATAATAAACTAACACTTATGTTATTTACTATTTAGACAGCTTACATATACAAGTGGGTACTTGAAAAAGTTTGTGGAAACATGGAATGAAAGTACAAATTTATTTTGGTGCGTGCATTTGAAATCCATGCATAGCCTTTTCTTATTAGACCTGTTTTAGGAGCTTCTTAATCCTCAGGTGTGTATATTCTTCCCTCGTGATGAACCAAGAAGACTGGCCCAATCTTCTCTCTTCCTTGTATAGTTAGTGTTACATTTTTGGTTTAATCGGTATTTGTTGTTTATATTCCCACTGCTCTGTATAAATGTTTACTACTGAGCCACATAGAACGGTCTGGCTATATATATTTTCTAGCATAACTTTGTATCGTTTAACAATTTTAAGTAGATATGAGTATGAATCATTTATTATTTAGACTTTTCCTTAATGTTTCTGTTTCATATGGTGCTCTTCTTGTCCATCCACGTGTGTGGCATGAATCTGGATCCTATTAGGCCTCTTTTGTCCAGGAAAAAATGCCTTTGTCTTCTTCCCAGGATGGAGAAGGGATAGTTGATTGATTATTAGGCTAGTACAGGGAGGGGACCTAGAAGTTTAACCACTCGTTATATGGACTTTAAGCCAATCTTAGATCATTTCTCTTACCTCCACCATGCTCCCTGTTTGCCACTTTTGTTCTGTGGAGTCTCCTGAACCTTTCCACGGTTCTGATTTTTCATTCATTTCCATCTACGGGCATTTAGGATGAATTTCTTCATGAAAACAGCCAAGGCCATCTGCTTTCCAGCTTTTAATTTTTGTTATTCTTTTGGTCTTTTTTACAACTTCATTCATGATAGAGAATTTGTGTATGTGTGTGAGAGAGAGGAGGTGGATGGGCACTTTCCACAGAGTCTGGTCGTGTTGTGACCCCCATCTCCAGTCCTCTAGCCCGTTGGATATCAGGCATTTGCACGTGTGCCTGGTGTGTTTCAGAGTGACCAGGCCTGGGATTTGAACTGCAGTTGTGACGTGGATCTGAGTTCTTTTGAGCTGTGCTTTATTACTGTGTCACGGAGCTCACCCCTGCTGTTGTTTTTTTATTGTTGTTGTTTTTCCCTTCTGAGCTCATTCTTTGGCCTTGGAGGTTAGCTATTTTTGCTGTAATAAGGTTTTACTGCAGAATAGAGAGGCGTGCACTTTACCATGTTTAATCAGAAATCCCACCTGTATTTACTTAGGTCTAAAATATAAATGTTTAATTGTCCTTAAAATTCATTGATGATGCCTTATTGTTACCACATTGAAGTTTAAATTTGTCAGCAATATATGTAAAGGTTTCAAGGATCTGAATACCTCAGTACTGGCCCCAAACTTCTTACTTATTTTAGAGAGATTTTTGCTGTAGGGCACGGGCACTTGCAGGCGAGACACAGAGAGACAGAAAGCCAGAAATCACCCCCTGGGGGATGGCCATGCCGTGGTCCCTTCTCCTCAATTCTCCTGTCAAGATCTTGGGCACACATGCATCTGTACCTGGTGTGAGTTTTAAGCTGCCGGGTCCAGGACTTGAACTGTGGTCTCTGGGAGTCCAGTGACATAACCATTACACCATCTGCTGTTCCCATGGCCCCAAAGCTGAAAAACAAAAAACAAACCTCTGTTCATTGCTTGAGTGATTCTGAACTATTTGTAGTTTACCGAATGTGCCAAGTATTCAATAGTTCATACCTCACTTCCTGCTTTATTCAATATATGTTTGAGAGCTAGTCACATTGGGAGGACAGTTCAGGCTGTATGGTGTGGGTGAGTGTCCCAGTAGTACAGACTGATAAGTGAAACAATCCTAGGACTGACCCTCAAGGAAGCCTAACATATAGTGATTGCATAGAGAAGGAAAACAGACCAAGATAAGGGAAAGAATGGCCATGTAAGAAGGAAATTTGGAGCTTATGGTTTCATGGGAAAGGGCCATTTCAAGAAGCAAAGAATGTATCAGGTTGGATGAGATACTATGTAAGCTGAGGATTAAGAAATTAGTATTTTATTTGTGACACGGAGGTGAGTGGTTACCTTAGAAATAGCTGTTTATTGGGACCAGTAGATGCATAACGGTTATGTTGCGGGGCTCCCATATGGCTGATGCGGTCTGAGTCCTAGACGCAGAGAATTGAAACTCATGCTGTGTGTGTGTGTGTTTGTGCAAAACCCTGAGAAGAGGATGGAGAAGAAGGGATTGTGGTGTGGCCATACCCCCCCCCACACACACACATACACACACACACCCGGGGTGATTTCTCACTTTCTTTCTCCCTGTCTCTGTCTCTCTGGCATGTACATATGCCCTATAGCAAAAAATCTCTCTCTCTAAACAGAGAAAAGAAATAGCTGGTTACTAAGTGATGAAGTTGCCTTCTGATAGCTGCTCTTTCTTCCACCATTGGAGGCGAGGATCTCTTCACTGCTATGAGTGAAGACATCAGTGGGTGGCTTGGAAAGGCTTTAAGGAGAGGCAAAATGAATTTTAAAATGGATATTCTAGAGAGTGTGAAGATGGTGATTACTAGTTCTCAGTAATTTCACTTTGTTTTGTTGTGGTTTTTCTCTTCTAGTACTAACTTGCCAGGCAAGATGTAGGCATAGACATGTCTTTTTATAAATTGTTAGTTGTTTTATTTATTTGAGTTGGGGCTTTATTTGACAGAGGAAAATGAGAAAAAAGGTCCAAGAAGTTTAAGATGTTGGTGAAATAATTATTATGAACTCTTAGCTGCATAAGGAAGTCAGAAGG